ATTTCAAATTGTTACTCAATGGCAATATAGGGTAAAAAGTTAAAAGAAAACATGTAAATTTAGAGAAACGTCTTTTTATGGTTGGATTTCAAACAAAAAAAATATATAGGTATAACTACATTCCAAATTATTTCCTGGTGTCAAAATTGTGATATAAACTCAGTTTTTGTAAAGAGTTGATGAACTTTAAGATATACCCTTTTGTTTTGCATTTCAAAGAAAATCGAACGTTTAGTAATTCAGCAGATAGTGTAACGATAAAAATATTTATTTTACATATTTGTATTTTGATTTATATGTGGCGTTATAGTTGTCTTTTTGACATTGTTTTCATCTCCCCTTTTTATTCAATATTGTATTTATATTGTGTCATAGATCAAATTTATTCGTTCAGTGTATATTTACTTGTTTTTGTTGATATGTCTTTTTGATAGAGTTAAGCCATTTAAATTGATGTTTTATTGTGTGTGTCTCTATGTTGTAATGTTACACTACTATTTCAGGATAGGGTGAATGTTGGCGCCTGTTAAAACGTTTAAACCCACTGCATTTGTTTGCACCTGTCCTAAGTCAGGAATTTGTTGTTCAGTAGTTTTCGTTTGTTATGTGATTCATAAGTGTTTTTCGTTTATCGTTTTTTATATAGATTAGACCGTTGGTTTTTCTGTTTGAATTATTCACACTAGACATTTTGGGGACCTTTATAGCTTGCTGTTCGGTGTGAGCCAAGGCGCCGTGTTGAAGGCCGTACTTCGATACATAATTGTGTACTATTTACAAATTGTGACTTGGGTGGAGAGTTGTCTCATTGGCACTCATACCATATCTTCCTATTATTATTTTACAAGGTCTGCCTACATCACTAATGTAAAAGTTATTCTCATTTCTCATTAATTATCATGATTATAGTCTGTGCTATAGATATAACACATCAAAACTTATTATTTTTTGTATTTTCTTCTTTTGCAGAAATTAAATGGTAAATTAAACCTTACACACATTAATTTCACTATCGTAGCCCAGGAACCTAGAAAGTGGTTGCTTGACATGTCTGTCATATATCTATGTTTGTTATTTTTTTATTTGGAGTATTTGGTGATGACAGTACATCTCGATTGTTTCTATTCAAACTTGAATAGACTTGTGACAATTACGATATTGGCATATTGTATAGACACCTGTCAAATGCTGAGGAGTATATGTTGTTGTTTGATGTCTCAACGATGTGTAACCTTGTATACGTAATGCCGATATTTTACATAATAGGATTTAAAACTAGATTTTATATCTCTTATTCGCAGTGGTCTGGTTTATAGTTGTCTCTGTGTTATCTCAAAATCTTTGCTGTATTTAGCTGCAGCATTTGTCATTAAACTCACAGTGACGCACTTTCTTTTCTTCAAGGACATTGGAAGAGAAAAGACGTGGTTGAAAGGCTAAGAATCATTCATTTAATCTGTGTCCATCGATGTTTAATTTGTTAAAGAAATATTTTTACATAGTGAAATACATAATGAAACGGCTTTAATTTTGTAGAATTAACATTATTGCGTCGTTATTTGTACAATTTAAGCGCATAATTAGAATTATATCATAGCCAGGAGACGTGCGTAAATATTTCGCAAATCGGCCACAGTTCCGTAGAGTTGTCTTGTGTTTGCAATTATGTAGCTTTTATGATTGATTTATTTATATAAAGAAAACTTCGTCGTCAGCAATTTTATTGTGCACATGCAATATTTTGTTTCCCGATTTTGTATAGTATTTGGCGTCTGTATGATAATTAAATCGATGACATATGTCCATAATCTTGTTTTAAATTGGCAGAGATATCCAGTTTGATATTTTAAGCTTGTGTGCATTGTTGGAACGTGAATTTTTGGATGATTGCCTGTTTGTCGGCAAGTCCGATTGCTGTGATTACACGTTTGTTTATGAATGAGGTAATCCTAGGCAGTTCAGATATACATTTAATCATTTAATAGTCCATTCTATATCCTATCATGATGTGGCTTGATATTTGAAGAAATTTTGCTCGAATCGCTGTAGATGTCGTCTTACATTATACTAGATTTTTTCTCAAAATATTGAACTGATTATGACAATACTTGACAGAAATGCTTGAAAAAACCAGTATTACAAAAGAAAAAAAATCACATTTAGTTTATTCAACAAAAAAGTCTTCTTCAGATGTAATACCACCAAATCAAAGTACGTCACATCCGGTTGCATACGAAAAAGGGTCGAAAAAAATATTCCCTTGAATTTGAAAGTTGTAGGAAATGAATCCTACATTTCATTGCAGTAAAAAAAAATTTGGTCATAAACTTATATCTTAGGTGTTTTCAGAGCACCATTATTTTTTTATTTGGTGTTTCTAAAGAATGATTTGTAAACTTGAGGTTACATGGGTAGTAAAGCTTGTACATAGATAAAAAAGGGGTAAACATATGATTGGTTAACTTCCAGTGATGGTTGTTTTCTTATATGCAATGAAATGTTATATGAAATTTTGTCTATAGTAATGGACAGGACAAACCTTTACTCATGCCAAGTATTTCTTTATTTGAAACATAGATAAATTCAAATTAGGACAAAAATTGGTCTTTTCAGACTTTTACACTTTTGTAGTGATAACACCTACACTTACTTAAATACTCTGAAAAGCACGTGGGAAGATCATGCAATTTACACATATCGATATATATATATATATATATATATATATATATATTTATATATATGACATATCTTACATCATTAATCAAATACTTTTAAAGATTTGTGATTTGGTAAAACTTGATCACATGTACACTTGTATTTACTCAGTTTGCACGCCAATATTGTCAGAAAAGTAGCTTTTCGTAGGTCATATTGCACAGGCCATACATCATGTTTCTAAAAATACAATCTTGAAATCTCCAAATGACACTGATGTTGTTTGAAGAGCCTATAAATATAGAAACGATCCTTGTTCGCTTATATGTCCTTTGAATAAAATTATCTTAAAATGTTATCAATTACTCTATAATTAGATTGTTTTTTTGATATTGTTGTTTTCGGTAACACCATTAATTATGTTATAAATAAATTAAAAAACATAGCTAAAATATGTATTCCTTTACAGTTATGAAAGTTACAGAAAAGAAGACACTCAAATTTACAAAGACAAAGAAAAAAAAACCAAACAAACAAGTAGGAGATTCCAAAACCATACATACAACGCATCCATAGATTTGAGTAATTTTCAACATAGTTTTTGGAATCGCAAGTTTCATATAAATATCATTAGCATTTGCATGTGCTCACTATTTCGTACTACAAGATGTGTATAAAAAGATTAATTTTTTTCACATTTCTGTAGAAAAATCAAAATTATGCGATCTTTGGCTATTAAATATATGTAATTTAGAAATAAAACTTATTGAACGAATACTTTAAGCTTAAACAACCTACTGTTACAAATACTTTTTTTTGTAGGTCGAAAACGGGGCTCGGTGCGCCTCCTCCTTTACTTGCCGTTTAAAGTCTATTTTACATTAACTTTCTTTGCTTTCGTGCTAGCTAGACGGAGATAAGGTTACTTCTGTGGTTGAAGTATATGCGTTTCTAGTTTTACAGGTTGTTCAAATGTATCAATAGTTTTTGTACATTTTAATGAGACTATTGAATGTCTTATTGTAGTATTTGTAAGATTCCGCATGTTTTGGCAGTTCGTGGTTTCTTGATATTATATCGCATACATGTTCTTTGATGTTAAGAATTGCGACATTTAAGTATTTCTTCTAGTCTGGTGCTATGGGGTATTCTTTCAATTGCAAAGAAGTTTGTGCGTATTTCCATGAAGCAGGCCACATGATGAATTTAAGGTTATGAAAAGCAATCAGAATAAAGCTTAAGATTTATTAAGCGTGTATGAATTTGTGCCATACATTAATGCACACCATATCTCTTCCACCGTTTCCTTGTTGTGTCTAGCGTACTAAATTACAAGCCTGGCATCTGCGATGAGTTTTTACAACCATTGGGTCGATTTTGCTGCTGGTAAACGTTTCGTCCCCAAGGTTTTCACTAGCCCAATAGTCGGTATTTTTGTGTTGACACGAAATATCATTCATGTGATAATTTCTTTTAAATTTAATGCAGATAAAATTTTACACCATTCGAAACACTAAGAGTTTTCTTACCTGAGTCATAAAGTGCCTAAGCTGTTTTTTCTTCAGCTTTTCAGAAATCCTGGTATTTAATGCTCTTCACCTTTGTATATAATTTGGCCTTAAAACTGGTTTAATTCGAACGCTACTGATGAGTCTTATGAAACTGAAACGCAAGTCTGGCGTAAAATTATAAGCTTAGTTAGTATCTTTGATAATTTTTTACTACAGTTGCGTTGATACCACTGCAGGTGGATGGCAGGGTATTACCACATTATATTCAGCATTGTTTTGTTGAAACGAATTATTGTTGATCTGTTCATTTTCTGTAAGTTTAAGGCTTACGGCGTTTTGGACTACTCGAAACATTCATAGATTTCTAAACCCAGACACGTATTGCCTTAGTCATATTTCGCAAAACCCTGGGTATATTTGTATTGTTTTCAACCATTTGGTCGACGCTCCTGCTGGTAAACACTTCGTCCCCGAGTGTATCAGCATTAAAGTAGTCAACATTGTTTTGCAAATTACTATGTTATTGGTGAATAAATTTACTGCTTATAAAATTCTTATTCGAAACATATATAATTCGTTGCATGTAGCCTATTTAATAATATTTTTAGTGAAGATTAATTCCAGAAAGTACTTTTAAAAGTAATTATTTTTCTCCTTGTACGCATGAATAGCTAAACAGAATTGACAAAATTGTAAATATTTTCGTTTAAATAATATGTCGATGTGAAAAATAAACATTTTGAAAATGATATTTAGTTTCACTTGAAATTATTCAATTGTGGAGGTTTAAATATACATATAGAAAGATTCATTTTCATACTACATGTCTTGTTGGGTAAATAGTCAAGTGGAAAAGTGAGTTTATTCGCTTTAAGGTAAGTTCACACTGTGCTTACTTTTAGTATAAAAGACATTAACAACTTAAATTATATTTTGCCAACAGTAAAATAATTGACATAATTAAATATATTTTTTTTCTTTTTAAGCTTTTCCATCAATTGCTTGCTCGATGTCTTCAACAAGTCCAAGCTCCTTGTGAAGAATAAATCTAATTTGCAATTCTATTATATTAATAAATTATAAAACATCAATCTAATAGAGGTTTCTTTACATTAACTAAGAATTTAATCTCTTCTAACTTTTTATGTATAATACATTCGTTTTGTAAATTCTCTAATGAATAGACAAAATACATCAAGTCCTTTCATTTTCTGATCAGATACATAGTAGGATTTATAAATTGAATATCCAATAATAGTTATTAGATAGTTAAAGCCAAAGTAATATTTTATCTGATATTTTATAGCCAAAAAAAAAAAAGATCTTTTAACGTGATAGCTTTTCCTATGTTATTTGTCTCCAAAAATTGTTTAAAAAGGAACATGATATAAAATAATGATGATAATCTTCTTCAGTAAAGCATTTGTTACATAAATATTTGTCTGTTACCTTCCATCTAAACAATAACTTTTTAGTAGGTTATATACTCTGTAAACGTTTCCATGGATACATCTTCAATTTATTTTTTTCTAAATAGTAAAAAATAAAGCTGTACAATGGTTTCAAATGAAATTCTGTTTGTAATGGTAATAAATTTAACCATAATACATTTATACCAAACGGTTTCACAACTTTGTTCTTTTCTTATCTGTTATATAATAACTTATTTGGCAAAAAAGAAATGTCAATATAGTTACCACTTATTGACAAACATTCAAACATTGTCTTTTTACATTGCCTCTACTTCTCGTAGAATTCTCTGATCTAAGACATTGTAACCAATCTTTTGGAATTGCGTTTTTTAAGGATGTCAACTCAGCTACCCAGTTGAAATTATTTTTTTTTTTTGCAAAATAACATTCGTGAAATTTCCCCATTTTCATCTAAAATGCCATTCATATTAATCAAATTACCGTTTATCCAATTTTTGAAAAATAGACATTTGTTATCAAATTTAATGTATTTATTTCCCCAAATAATTTATTTTCTAATTTTGTAAAAGGTTTTTGGTTTATCTGTCTGTCCTCCTACTTTCATCCAGCTTTTTAATACATTTTTATGAAATTTTGGAATATTTGGTAGATATCTATCAACTTTATTATAATCCATATTCATATCAACTACTAGGCAAATGTTTTCCTAAGCCTTGTAAATATTTTAAAGGTATAAGTTGCCATCTGGCAATATCTGTATTTAAGAATCTACCTATTCATGATGCTTTTAGTGATTCATCACATTCATACTAAAATATTAAATATATTAGAGGTGTAATGCCACCATTGATTTTCTCCTTTTAGTCCTTGTTAAATTTACACTTTCCAAAACAACGTGCAGAATTATTCTTTGTGTCAAGTAAAGAAATACTTGGCATTAGTAAAACTTTATCTTGTCCAGGCTATCGTTTCACAAAAAATCGCACGGCAATCTTAGATCTTACGTCGGTCGTACGTCAAATCGTAAGTTTTTTACCGTTTCATAAACAATCGTAAGTAGAATTTTAGTTTGATCGTAAACTTACGAGTGTTAGTAGGCAGTAGTAAGTCAAATCGTAGTGATTTAACCTGTTGACATTTGGATCATTTTGTTAAAATCAACAATATTACATTATCTAACAGAAAATTAAGACACATTGGATGAACAGAATACATGAATTCATGCTATTTTGTCCAAATCATACGTAACTAAAATTTTGAATTCCTGAAATAAACGTAAATTTACCATTCCTGCATTTGAGTTTATTTTAATTTAACAAAAATGGACACTTTGCTTCCAAAAATCCAAAGATTTGACCATAAAAACTTAGAAGTAATCGAACATTGTCGAACTAGCACAGCTCAAAAGGGACTTTTAATTTACACATTTCGATTATTTCAAAACGAATAACAATCCAGAAAGAGTTGAGAAAACAATAATTTATATACATGAATGTAATGGTAGAGTTGTATATGCCCTGAATCCATATGTTCGATATAATTACACCAGCTGCCATGCGCTCTATCAGGTTCGCAGTTGTTTTAGGTATAAAATGTATGCTTCAACCCCGTACTCAATACCTGCTTTGTTCTTTTCGATTAAAACATTTCTATAATTCTAGGATAATTTGAAAAATATGATATTTCACTTTGTCATTATGTGATTGTTTATGTTAATTTCATTTTCAAATTTAGAATGTTGAAGGTATAAAAAACTGAAATTTTAAAATCCTAAATATGTTTTCTTCAGTTTCAAATTTTTGTTAAGGTAACGAGATTCTTATTTTTTAGCATTTAAATGGATGGAAGGAAACATTGGAATATCTCTATTTTTTTCAAGTTCCCACTTTATTGAAAGGAAATAAATTCAAGACCCCACTTTCAAAGACATAAAATGTTCACACACCCCTCCTCATTTCTCAATACTTTTGTATTATTATTATTATTATTATTATTATTATTATTATTATTATTATTATTATTATTATTATTATTATTATTATTATTAATATTTTTTTTGTATTTGGATATGCTAAATATGGTATCATTGTCACTAACCACACCTTCATTCCATTATAGCTTCAGATAAAAATACTCTCCTTGAAGAATATGTTGAAACTTAGAATTTGTGATCTTAAGAATTGATCCGAGCGAAAATCATTTTCTTTGTGTCAAAATATTACATTTGCTTTATTGTATGGGGAGCGCATGGTAGGTTGTGCGTCTCTTGATTATGCATCTCTAGGTCATAAAGGGAAAATAGTACACTGTATTCATCAACAGCAATGATTTTTGCATGTTTGAAATAGAGTTGCTCAAATCTTTTGAAAACATTTCGATGCATCCCCCACCATTTGAAGTATAAAAAAGAAGTTGGATGCTCCCTCTCCCCAATCAAAGTGAAGCAGATAATTTCCAAAGGCAGTCCCTAATTTCTCCCTCTTTGTAATTGTAGTAGTTATATTAGCTCGAACTCATATTCATTTCGCTATTATTCGTGTATGTTTTCAATTATTAAAAAAAATGTTGTTCTTCTCGATTTATCCTTTTAAATGTTCCTATACATATGGTTTTGGTTTTGTCAAAAATAAATTCGATAATTATGTACAATTTAATTACAATTTTAAGACAGTTCTTAGCATCGTCGATCATTGTACTTCCATGCATAAAAAAACCACATTGATAGGAACATCAACAAATTACAAACAATGATATCAACAAATAATCTTATTAATTGCATCCAAATATTTAGTTACATTACTTGGCAGGAAATTGTACATTGGCAATATTTCATGCTGACAATGTCAATTCTTCAACGTATGTCGGCAAGTATAAATGCAATTTTTTTAAAAAAGATAGCATATGGGATAGGGCAGAAATTTTCCCTTAAAATAAACCTCCAACAGACCCATAATGATGTTATAACAAGGAATCTTTACCGTGCAGAGTGTGGAAATCGTATGCATAGGGGATCGTTTTCAATATAATGGAATTTGATGCGACTGTCATACAAGTGAGAGGTTTAGCTAGCTATAAAACCAGGTTGAAGCCACAATTTTCTACATAAGAAAATGCCTGTACCAAGTCAGGAATATGACAGTTGTAATCCATTCGTTTGATGTGCTTGAGCTTTTGATTTTGCCATTTGTTTAGGGACTTTCCGTTTTTAATTTTCCTCGGAGTTCAGTATTTTTGTGATTTTATTTTTTTCCATACTGAGCAAACGTGGCTGCGTACTTATGCATCCAGCACATACGAACGGACGACCATTTCAGGGAAGGTTTTACGTCGTGACGAGAGAGGATCAGGCAGTATAATTTGTATCTATACTAGTCAATTCATTGAGGGTTAAAAGACAGAACGTATAGTAGTTCATATACGACAATTGATACGACATAAATGCCACGAGCAGTGTTAAAAGGCTAGTGAACGCTGTAGTTGAACTATTTAGACAACTCGTCCACCGAGGCCCCTATAAAGTTACAAAATTCTCTTGAATACTAATTTTTTGTCAATAGTTTTGTTTGTTGATAGTATTGAGAATTTTGTCTATCTTTGACATTTCCCTTCGAGTAGTATATTTACCACATGTATCTACTAGCATCTGTACAATTCGAAAACTCTCACAATTAGGATATAAAAACACTTCCCAACAATTGTTTAACAAATATGCAAATTAACAAAGATACGGGTATTGGTGTCCTATGGACACATATTCTTGCAATTTATTTATTTAACATTAATGTTTTAGCCACAAATTGCTGACTGGTCATCTAATGAAAAAAAAGTTATATGAGGGTCTGACTGAAGTTGACAGAATAGAGAATATAAGGGGTTAACATTAAAGAAAATGGATTAAAAAATAAAGAACCGAGAAAAATAGGCCAAAATTATAAGGATAGAGAATAATGTGCCAAATTTATAAAGAATATAGAAAAATGGTTAAAAAAAATAAAGAATACAGATTAGAAGGCAACCCCACCAAGATCCTCTTATATTCTTGATATCTCTTTCTTTAGTTACATTAAATTGACGGCTATAGCGCGCTCCTTAATTGAGACAAAGGGGGTTTTGGGGGTGTGTATAAGCGGGATTTAAGATTCGCCCTTTATAGATACACAAATGCAAAATTTCAAATTGATTTTCGTCATGACTTAAAAGAATTGGAAATTTGGGAAAACTACAACCCCCAGATACAAAAAAAAAAAAATAAAAAAATACGTAGACACTTATGCTTTTAATTTTTTTTTAATCTCCTGTTGACCATTATATTTTTGGATGACACAGTAGCAAATGCATAGCATATCATTATAAAATATGAAATGAAAATATGCATATACTTTTTACATGTCCAAGTCTAAATGTTGTCTTGCCAAAAGGTAGATTCCTCTTTTAAAACAAAA